AGAATCGACAATAAATTTCGATTTTTCTTCTTATTTTTCAAAGGACGTTTGAATATGAGTGATCGAGGTACTCGATGTATGAATCAATCCCCCATTGGGACTCCTTTCTTTCATCCATTTATTGGTTATCGTCCTGATGGACGGTTTATTCATTCTTAATGAAGAAGGAAAACTCGTTGACGCGGTGGAGAATGTATCCTATTTTTCGGTAATGCGTGTAATCCGGTCGGTAACAGAATAGATGGAATGACGTAACCAAGTAGAGGAATACTAACGGCATTTTATAAGGTTCCTTGTACCAGAGCGGGAATCCCGTGGGATTGTGCCTCCCGTCCGGGATCGAATTCTCGGTCGGTAGTGAATGCAGCTTGAAATGCGCCGGCTCGACCGTCTCCTCCAATAAAGCTGACACTTGTCGCGCGTATTCCTTCGTACCAGCTGTTCGTTCCAGTCTGGGAATTAATCGGAATACGATTCTCTCGTGTCTTGATCGAATGTTAATAGTATTTGCTTTCTTATTAAAATTAAATTAACCCTCATCCACCCTTTGCATTAATTTTTTATAAATGTAACCTACCAGAGAGTAGCTTATACGCGATTGAATAGAAATTTAGTCTATTTAATCTTAAATAGAAGAATCTGCAGATCTAATCCTTTATCTTCTTATTGTGGGTATTAATTTTTTACCATTGCGACAATTTAACATCAAGGGAAACATTAAGTTGGAGAAATGGAGGGTTATTCAAGAGTATTTAATAAAAAAAAGTATTTAGATATTCTATACTTCTTTACTCACTGTAGGAAAAAAGAAAAGAAAAATTACAGGGAAATTAAAGAAAAAATTTTTTTTAAGGATTTTCAGAATTTTCAGTTTTACTTTCTAGTTAAATCTATCCAGATTCTGATACTTTTTGTTTATGGGAAAATAGAAAATTTAAGTTACGCAATCTACTATAAGATTACTCGACTGCAGATTATGTATTTCTAAGAAATTTGAAGAAAGCGTAATATTAATATTTTGTAATATTACCAGGATTCTATGTTTTTTAAATTTATTTTCAAATTAAATATTCTTACGTTCTCATATTAGAAGTATCTTTAATTATGTATGCATACCCAGAGTGTAATGTTTTATTCATATTTCATTCTATCGAGGTTCTACTTCATTCAATTTATTTTCAAACTAAATATTCTTATATTCTTAAATTACAAACATATATAAAATGCCCAAAATATAATTTCCTTTCCGCGACGTTTAGAAACCGAGGTTCTGTTTTTTTCCGGTTATAATGAAATAAAAATGAAATGAAATGCAATCTAAATTTGCATAAAAATCCGCAATCTACATATTCATCGTATTTCCTCGTTCATTTACTTGTGAACCATCTGCCTGGTGAATTCCACTCTCGGCGTTGGCTTGTAACTAGTAGACGATGGACTGGCAGAATCCAAAAGACTTCTCACTCTTCCAGCTCGCGGTTTGTTCGAATTCTTTTCGACACCGTAGAAATTTCCAAAGTGTATCGCAGCGTCGTCAGGAAGATTCGTGATTAGTCGAGCATCTTTGGAACCCTTGTCTTTCGTCGTTGATTCCTTGTCCGTGGTATTGGTCGTGCTTTTCGAGAACTCGGATTTTTGCTTTCTTCCTTGGGACCTCGGAATCATAATGGATTACGTGTTAAAGTGACGACGATATCGTTACGTCGGATGCATGGCATTCTTCATGGTCTTGGTCGTTATGTTTCAAGTATGTCTTACATTTACAAGTTCATTTGATAAATTGCACATTTCAATAAATCAGGGCCATCGGTAAGAAGCTACTCGATCAACGTGGTAAAAGGAGAAGAGATTTGTGAAGAATTGACAAATAAAGACGTGATAAAACGACGAAGTGTGTACAATATGTGCATTCGTATATTATCGGATAAATTAATTTTTCGTAAAAACGCGGGATCGGAATATTTCAGTCGTGTGATGCAGAGAGTATAATATGAACATTTATTGCAAATGTTTTAGATAATAATAAATTCAGTACCAAATGTGACATTTTAAATTTCACTCGTGTTTTCAATTGTCGTTTTCGCGAATGCTTGGTATATAACGTTATTCGCAGGACAATTTTCCTGTTTTAGGATTAAATTGCATTCAGCAAATTTCTTCAGTTTTATTAACCACTTCACAAACAGACGAAATATCTCGCCAGTTTCTTTGTCCAAAATTTCATCTCGTATCATATGAAAAGCATAATTTATGTAAAAAAAAATTAATTACTTTTTATAAATAATTGTCTTATATCCATAGTCTACGCAATCATATCGTACCATAGAAATTATTTATAAAAGCAGCGTGTCTTTCATTTAATAAATGAGATTTAGTACATTAATTTTTCTTCGAATTAGAGAAGTCTCGTCGCAATAAATTATCGTGATATCTCGACGAACACTATTGCGTCGTAGGGTATCTCATTTATGGTTGCGAAGTTAGAAATTGTGTAAGATGTTAAAAATGACGAGTAAGCCTAATTTAATGATCAAGAAGAAATTCCACAATTTGGTCAATTTATAATTATTCCGTTTCTATAAGGTAAATAAAAACATTTTTTCCAGTAATCCCGGGCAATCGAACGATTAAGTAAAAACTATAATGATGAAAGGCAATTGTCCCATTATCTCAAACAATATTCGAAACTTCTCTTTCTCGTGCTGTGTAGTTAACTTCCTTAACTTCATGCGTGAGAAAACCGAACATTTGGCCCAAAGTAACAAAATGATGAAGTATGAAACGAGTCTTTTAATCCTTTGCCACCGTTTGATTTTATTCGCGATTGACACACGCACCGTTACCGAACATTCATTTCCGTTACGTTGTCGCGGTGAAACGCGCGAGTATGTATATATATCGGTTAATTCATCGTGACAAGCAATTTACGAGAAATTACAGCGGTTAGAGAGAACCTCGATGGATCGTCGATCCGACACAGGAAAAGAACGCTCTGCGAGCGTCATGTTTAACCGTTTCGGCGACAATCGCGACCAATTGCATGAATTATTCATCGGAATTCGAATTGCCCGCTCGCGGATGTTGCTTGTGTAACCGGACACAAGTTTACAATTGTATCGTTGAATGCAATGGTGCATTTTCGAGTCAAATGCGTATTATCGAAATTTAAAAAAAAAAAATGGTCAATTCGTAATTCTTTGAATGACGAAAATTCTTTAAGTCTACAGTTTCTAGCAAGCTTGTGCTCTTTATCGTATTAAAAACTTTGCCCTATCTCATGCAATTTAATTTCCCTATAGACCATTCTTTGCTGAATAAATCATTCGAAAGCACATTACCATAAACATTCCAAGAACTTTTTTAAATCTCACAGCTAATTATCTTTATAAATCTCGAGTGATAGGACTAGTTATCCATTGGAA